GTATACGCACATAAGGGAGCGTGCTAATCGACCAGATGACAATGACGAGGATTTTAAAATCCTAATGAAGGAAGATGGTCTGCCGGAGGTGGTGCGACTCACAGAAGAAGACGTGGCAACTGGCCTTTTTTGTCTGTGTGATGTTCTTCTTACTGTTCCAGGCCCTGACGAAGAACTGCAGTATCCGAGTATTGCGAGTTGCACGCGTGAGTCGTACATTGCGGCGCTCAAATTGAGAGGAGCGGAGATGCTTTTGAATGCAGAGAATCCCCTTGTGAGGGTGTATCATTACCATGGGGCATATCGACCGCTGGTAGTAAAGCCGAGAGGACTAAAGATGCGCCTTGTGAACACGAAAGGACCGCGAGAGCCAATTATTCTCACGGATTTGGAAAAGTTAGCCATGTGTGACACCAATAATAATGGTGTGATGAATAATGAGATTGAACAGGACGCCTGCACAACGACTGCAGTGAGTAAGGCAATTGTGGTGGAATTTTCCCTTCCTCCAGGCTCATACGCTACCTCTGTTTTGAGGGAGTTTAGCATCCCTTACTCTGAGGGTTACCATTCCACGGCGGCTATGCAATGCGACAGCAGCGGCAGTCATTAGGGCAGTGTGGACACTGCGGTGTAAGAGATTGTCCTTAAGTTTGTTTATTTTTAGGAGATGCCGCCCTCATTTTCTTGTTGGTGGTGGTGTTTTTTTTTTTTTTTTTTTTTTGGAGGGGGGTGATGTGTTCTTGCATGCCCTTGTGAAATCACAAGATTCTGTAATCGTGTAATCATCGTGTGTAATTTAACCAACTCCTTTCAGGATTGTTGAGCGGGCCTATGCTTCCTGTGACAGATGACAACCAGCAAAGACTGTGTTGGTTTGCCCTTTTATTTTTATTTTTATTTTCTTGTTTGTTTGTCATTCAATTTGAATCCCTTTTTTTTTTTTTTTTTTCGCCTGTTTTTGTTTTGTGAGGAAAAGCGTGTGAAGTGCCTTCAGGGAGAAACGTAAAAATTTCTTCCCGGCTCCCTTTGATATTATTTGTATGTTCCTCTCTTCTTGGGTTTGGGCAGCGCCGAGGGGTAAAACACCACAACACACAAACACGCGGAGGGGAAGCAGCAAAACGGGGTGCGTGTAGCGCCGGGAGGATTCGTAATAATTTGGGCGGTGAGTTGTTGGGAGGGGTCGTCACAGGGGAGAAGAGGAGTGGGTGCTGTTTAGTGTGTGGGGAAGCGTCATTATGCTAATGGAGACGCTGGAGCGAGAGGTGGAGGCACTGAGCGCTGAGGTGACACGCCTGCGATTTATGGTGTATCACATGAAAGATGCCGTGTTTTCATCGGCACCTCCTTTGGCAGCGGCCGCTTCTTCTGTGAATTGCCGCAGCGGTGGTTGCGGCGGCGGCGGTGCTGAGACAACCGATTCCGCAATGAAGCTGAAGGCTAACAGTAGCAGTTGTGGGACTCAACCACCGCTGGGTGTGGTGTTGCAGGATTTGACACAAGCGGTTGCACAGCTTTTGGCGGCCAGCAATGAGGTGAAAATGGCGTCGTCAGCTTTACGGCAAGGACGTGAGGAAAAAAACAACGAGCGTCCAAGACGCCATCAGGGGTCACGCACGCGGAAAAAGACGAAGAAAAATCGACATCATCGTAGATCTTCCTCCGCGTCTTCATCAGCGCTTCCGGCATTGTCGTTGTCGTTGTCCAGTTCGACTCACAGGGCGAGCAAAAAGAAGAGACGATCCCATCGACATGCCGACAAGAAGAAGGATAACAAGGATTTACGAGGGCTCGAAGAAAACATGGGGGACGGACACAATGAGTTGCCTTCAACCAAACCCCGTAACAGCACGTCACAGGAAAAGGGCCTTCATGCTTCCAATGCTGTTGCTCAACGTCAACTACAAAAAGAGGAGGAGGACCAGGAATTCAACTACAGTAGGGGCGAGGGCAACGAAAGGCGCAGCTCGTTGCGAAGTTCCCAAAAGGGAGGTGACCGCCTCACAGGAAAAACCCCTGCAGAGTTGGAAAGTGTGGAGAGATCTCGCCCCCCATCACTAGGCACTTCGTACGGCATGTTGGCGTCGGCCAGTGTCCAATCAGCGGGCGCTGGAGATCCGAGGACGTCGATACGGAGAGAAAACCGAAGTTCTTCCGCCGTGGCCATCCCGGTACCGCCGAGGAAGATGGACGGGCAGAGGGAGGAGGACGGGGAGACACCACCGTCTACGGAAGAAGACGGATATTCTTTTTTAACTCATGGCACCTTGTCTCTAGGCTGTTTTGCACCCGAAAAAACGAAGAACGTGACACCAACGGCAACTGAAATAACAAAAACGGAGGGATGTGAAGAAAAAAGCAAAGAAAGAGGAAATATGCAGTTTAAACCGCTTCATATGTTTCGTACACCTCCGACACAACGCCGTACTTTGTTAGATCGCTTTCGCGGTGGGAGTGATGAGTCCAGTACCCCCGATGAAAGAGACTCAACACCAGCTTCGCTTCAACAGGCTGGAGAGGGTGCGGCTTCACACTCCATTTCTCTTAATAACGCAGTGAATAATGCCATTGGGTTCGCTAGCACTGACAATGTCTCTAGAAATAGTTTTGCGATTGGAGCGATACGCTCGAGTACGCCTGATTCCTTTGGGGGATACGGAGCTGGGATGATGGAAGAGTACGGGTTTGCTCTGAATGAATCCTTCCACGCAAGTCAGAGCGCAGAGAATATTAATAGCCGCGGGCATGATGAACCGTCCGCAATACTCACCAGAACGAATGCCCGGTACCATTTGCGAGACGACAATTCTACAAATTGAACGGGTTGTCACGTGTTCTTTTTTTTTTTTTTTTCTTTTCTTTCCCATGTGTTTTTGCGTCAATTGAAAAGAAAAAGAGAGAGCGGAAAGTTACTCTTTCCTGAAAATTACGACACTCGTTGTCTCATCTTGTTGATGTCATTCTTCTCTTCTTTTTGCTTTTGCTCATGTTTGGGTTTCCGTCGCCAACGACCCTCTCCACAATCATACTTTTTTGTAACAAGACAGTAGTTTGCGTGTCATTTGTGCTCGGGAATGTGCGCCGCGTTTAGATCGTTGTGCGAAGAGTTGAGTCGTCTGCAGGTGCGCATGCTCCGACGCGAAGGGAATCCATCGCAGCTCGTGGCGGAGGCGACTCAAATGATTCGAAGCCGTTGCAATGATATCGAAATAAAACGACAAAACCTGCCGTATGTTCCTATTTTTTTAAGGAGCTGTGCAACTCTATTTGCACGTGTCGACACGGACCCCGTGCACGAGGCTCTGGAGACTGTAGGGCAGCTTGCTGAGGCCTACGTTGACGGTAATCATGGCGACGTGAATGAGTCTGCCACTGTACTCCAGTCATTGGTTTCTTTTGCTCGGAATCTGGCGAATGAGGGGGATTTACACAACAACAATATGCCCTCATCATCGCCATCATTAGCGTTAAAATCTTTACTGGCTCCATGTCTAGAAAAAACATTACAGAAGTGGAAAGAACAGTCAGTACGGCCACATACCTCAACACTCTTGTCACTTCTTCGAGGGACAGACATTGTCTATGGCGAGGGTTTTCACTTTACTCCAGTGAGTGTTGATATGATGGGTTTATTGCCTACCAAGGGCAAGATTCAAATGGAGGCAAAGCTACAGAAATGTCCTTCCGCAAGACATATTCTTAAATCACTGCGTGAAATGCAACTGTCAAAACTTGACGCTGGGATCTGCTTGAGCTCTCTCGCAGAACTTGGGTTGTATGATGCTGAGTTATGCAATGCCTGCTGTGAGGTGCTTTTTTCCACTCACGCACTTGTGACATGTCAGCAGTTCGCACAGGTTATCTATAGTTTAGGTGTCCTTCAACACCGACATATTCATCAAAAGTTCTTCTCCAGTATGGTGGACTTTAAAAAGTGCAACGCAGCGGCGTTACGGAAACACACAATGGGCCTTGCCATGCTTAGGCAGCCTCCGCCCAATGAACGTGCTTTTATGGACGGTATCTTTTTACACGCATTACGCCCCACCGATCCGTTAGAATACAGCTACTCACCCGAAGAGGAATTGTCTTCAGAGTGGTTTGTATCTATCGGCCATGCATTGTCGTGTCTGGGGATTGTGCACTACAAGTACCGTCTGATGTTGGCACGGAGGGTGCGAAGAGACATCATTCAACTAACCACACAACAACGATGCCAAATGTTGTACGCTTTGGGAGGGGTGCCCATAGATTCCGTTCCAGATGAGCTCCGCCAGTCGTGGAAAAACAAAGTGGAACGATCAGTTGAGGTGCTGACAGAGCGGCTGCGTTACAACGTTGAGCCCTCGGATGGACCTTTTGTGATGAATGCTCTTCTCTTTGCTGGCGTTCGCGAACACCCCATGATTCCTCAAAAACCCGATCTACTTTCAGGAGAGAACCCAGTCGAGGTCCTTCTTCGCACCTGGTCTACCTGTCCCAAGGAGCGTGTGCTTCACTTGACGGAGCAAATACGACCGCGTCATTTGGGAGAGGAGCCGACAGCAACGTTGTCTCATGTGTTTAGCGTCATTGCAAAGAACTGCAGTGCTTCACCCTTTGATTCCTACCGATTTGGGCCTTTGTGTGACGCAGTTCGTAGTCACGGTGGCGAAATGAGCGTGGAAGAGGTTTTGGGCACAATAGCTGCCATTCAGCGTATTGGAATCGGAGGCCGTTATCGTGAGACTCTGGTTGTATTATTGGAGAATTTATGGCGACAGCGGCATAGCATGACGTCCGAGCAGCAATCTCGCTGCTGCCGCCTTCTAGAACGCCTGGGTCACTTGGATACTGCAATGGAGTTGCTTGAGTACATGACAACCCTTTAGACGCGGGGCGGGGGGAGCGAAGTGAAGACGGGAATGGTTTGTATTGTCTGGAATTCCTTCACAAACAAGAGGGACAGGGGATCCATTGCAGTGGCTATGGGACTTTTAGTGAGCTCATCCGTGCCTATTTTTTTTTTTTTTCGTTTTGTTTTTTACATTGTTTCTATTTTTCTCCGCACGCCTCTTCATTTACTTTTGTATTGTTTTGAATTTATTCATTGCTGTTGTCTCTTCTTTTTTTTTTTGGTTGTTTTTGTTGCACTGTTCGGCAACATCCCGCGCGTGTTGTTTTTTGGACGGACGCTGTGTAGTCTTCACTCCTTGTCGGTGTGGAAGTACAGCAGCGGTGGGGCGCGTAGAAAGGTGTGTGTGTGTGTGTGTGTTGGTGCTGTTGAGGAAAAGAGCGGAGGCCGGTAGAAGAGGAGGACGACAACGATGGGGAAGCGGGTGAAAAAGATGCCAAAGCAGAAGCGTAAACTCGCAATGGCTGACCGTCCGAGAAAATTAACGAAGAAGGGCAAACTGAAGCGGAAGCGAGGTGACCTCAAGATGTTGAAGAGCCGCGACGTGGCTTTCGCCGTGCGGCAGAAGAAGGGCGGGAAGTGGGTGAAGGCGGGGGAGCGCCGCTGCAACATACACACCGTATGTAACTGTGTTAACCGTACCGATCCCGCCAAAATGATGCGTGTGGCCAATCGCTAAGCGTCCGTGTGACTTTATTCTTTTACCCTCAGAACTG